TTGAGGGGGAGTGTTGACAAATTTCCCTGTTTCTTGTTTCCTATTTCGTAGGGATTTATTTCCTATTAGGTTGTTTTAAAATAAAGGGATAAGGAAGGTTGTTTCCTCTAATCTCTCTAGTCTTTAATTCTTTGATTTATTCCTTAAATTAAGGGATTGTTAATTTCTATAATTATGGAGAATTCCTTGACAGATTTGTTGTCAAGCTTCACTATATAAGGCCTTTGCCTTTCTGGTAATAAATCATTAGAAGAGAGTTTTTTCTTCTATTCCATATTTCTTCATGATATAAGTTTTTCTATTTCTTCATTGTGCAACTTTTATTTCTTTTCAGGTAAGCGAAATGCTAAGGCATGCATCCATCTCTTCAGTTGCTGGACTTCTAAGCAACCTTCGGAGTCATAGTATGTAACTGTTTGTTCAACTTTATGAGAAGTCTTTTGTTTATCGATTTATTTACGAATTTCATCCTTGTCTGTTATTTGCATAACCCATAAAGTTAATTGATGAAGTTGGAAGATAAGCGTTAACCGGATGCTTTGTTTTATGTGGAAATAATTTCTTGTTATGATAAGACTTCGCCATATTGCCTTGGGAATTGGTGGTAGAGGTTGTTTTCTTAGCATGTAGTGATCCAGTGTTCAGTTGGATTTGTGGAGATATATCATTTCTACCCTCATAAATAATTTAAGAAACCTATTGAAATTAGGTTTCTCCAATGGGTCAGGTCAAGTGCTCGTTCGACAAGTTCAAAGAAATTGAAGGGTTTTGGTTAATCACAGTTGTACTTTTCTCGTCTATCTGTTGTTTTCAAAAAAATTGTTTCAGGAAGCAAAGCTTCCAAAGTATGTTTTTCTATTGAATTTTGATTCGGGTCATAATCTCTTGTTTATGCCTTTGGGACTGTCTATGAAGCTTTTGAGGTTCAGGATAACTAAATCTTATTGTGCAATTTATTTATCAAGCATCTCATTCATCAGTATCTACAACATAACAACAAAATTAGATCTTTGAGTAAAAAGGTGGTTATTATTTAACATTTTTGTCGGCCCCGGACTCTATATTCCATAATACTCAACTGCTACCAATCACATTTTAAAGTGAATAAATTCATATGGCCAGTTTATCAAGTCACATAGCATCTCTTTCATTGACCTGCCCAATTTGTCATGTCGTTTTTGATGAAAGTATTTTTATGCTGTCTCTGCATGAGTACAACCTTTTCTGTTGCATCTGCGCCCAAAAGATATATCAAAAAGAATAAAAAACAATTTTACTCTTGATGACATAATGATTGTTAATTGCAGGCCAGGTATCTTGCTTGTTTTGGCTATTACATTCTGACATTCATGAGACCAAGGCGATTGCTGCTCTTGAGTACATATCCTCCATGCAGGCCAGTGCAGAACCAATAACTCGGCCAGTAAATGGACAGCGAGGCAACTCTGAGAAACTTCCTTTACTGGAACAAAACCTTAGAGGAGGAAAGATCCACGTACGCTTCAAACGCAGAAACGGACGAGTGAGACTGATGGTACTCTCCTTCACACAGTTTCAACTTCCGCCCCCTTTTCTCTCACTGTGGCATCCTATGCCTTCATACGCATTCTCTTGCGCAAACGTGTGACGTGATTTTGTATTTGTTTCTATTTCTTCCAATTTAATTTTTGACAATATTGAAGTAGCTGATTATCTGATGTTAATTCATATCTTTTGTTAGTCTGAAGAGTTTTGTATTGAGCAATCGGGCATAAAATTCACTCCCGTTTCTTCTGAAGCTGAAATTATTGCCCAAAGCCTTGTACCTAAGGTATGTTGTGTTACTTGCATATCTATATTTGATTAGAACATCAGCAATGTGTACCTTTTATTTTTGGGCTGGTTGGACAATAAAATGGATGCAAAGAAATTTGTGTTAATAAAGATTTGCTCTTGGGGAGCTAGTTACCTCTACTCTACCCACTTATGCACACTTTAATGTCTAAGCTAGGAACAAACGATATAGTAATACACATTCGACGAATGCAGATACGACCTAAACGAGATATTAATACTCATCAAATAAAATATCAAATTGGGTCTTTGTTGGCAGGTTCAGTTCAATCTAGAGTTGTCGGAAAAGGAGCGAAATGACAGGGCAAAAGTTGTACTTCCGTTTGAGCACCAGGGTATGGATACATTATGAACTTTTGCATTTTAAAATAATATTAATTTTGATTCAAATTAAGGAAAGATAATTTTCATTTCTTCTCTTTCCATATTTAATTATGTCGTTTTCTTAATCACACGTCCATGTTTGCTTGAAGGAAATGGTAAAAGCATTCAAATCTATGATGGTCGAAAGTCTCTCAACGAGGACAGAGCTGAAATGCAAGATACTTCTACAGAGAAAGTGCAGACAGTTGAGGATTCTGGGAGGGGCGAGATTATATATTTTCGTGATTCAGATGACGAGATGCCAGATTCAGATGAGGACCCTGACGATGATTTGGACATATAAATGTCATCTTCTCGACATTCAATAGTACCAGGAGCTGCATGCATACATACATACTCGACTGGAACTGTGTAGCACAGATTGTCAATACGGATCAAGGGCAATAAATTTTTTACTTTCTCTGATTAAATAAATGCTGCTTCAAATTCATTGCGACTGCCATAGCTTTCTGTGAGAAGAGCTGGAACGAAGTGTGGGTGTCGACTGAGGTTGGTTCAATCTTTGATCTCTCTTCTTTCAAGAATTATGCCCCTCCCTTGTAATGATAAATTTGGGAGGAACGGAATTTGCATTTTTTGGTTTTTAAAAATTAGGGAATGAGTTAATTATATATGTTTGGAATGATAATTTGATGGTTACAATCATGCTACCTAGGATTATGTTTGGAAATTCTTCAATTTTAGTATAACCTTCGTATTCCCCTAAATAAAACATTTTGATTTAAACCCATTAAAAATTTTGAAAGTCTTAGTTATGCTTTTGCTAATTTGTTTTTGTTTTTGTTTTATTTCACACGTTCACATTGAACTAGTTCGTTTAAAAGATTAAAAAGATAAAAGAGGGTACATATTTTCATTTGAATTTAATGTTCAACACGTGCCATCACATACACATTTTCAGCCAACATCACTATGCAATGCAATTGCACACAACACACAAAGTGGAAGTGCCAACAATAATCTCATGTCAACTTTCTAATTTGGTAAAATTCATTTGTGTTTTTATTTCTAAATGCTTTAATTTGGAGTGTTTTTTCATTTTTTGCAAGTGATTTATAGCATCACTAAGCCCCTGTTTGGTGATCTTAAAATGTAAGAAACTATGTTTTGAATAGTATTTTTTGGAGAATGTGTGGTTAAAAAGTAGGAAAAAAATTTGGGTGTACGTGTAGAATATTTTATTAGTTGAATGTATGGTTGAAAATGAATGTGAGAAATAAATTAAGTTAAATTAAAGGCCACGAAACAGGGGCTAAACTCGTTTTCAATTTAGCCCTTCTTTAGTGTAAATTTTAATTTTTAAATAAAAGTTAATGAAATATGTGGTTGAATTTGAAACTTTGTGGATCCCATAATAAGCGTGATTGAAAATGAGTTTGAGAAAAAAAAATTAAAAAATGGGAGCCAAACAGGGGCTTAATTTCGTTTTAATCATTTTTCTACGAGATGTTAATGTTAATGTTCAGTTTTGATGAGCACTGAAATGAAGAGTTATGAAATTGTATTGACAGCTTCTAACATCATCCTTTTGCGTTGGATTATTTGTCTAGTAGATCTATGTCATTACCCTTTTAGGTATTGTTGTCTACTATGCATATTCTATCAAAACGTTTGTTCGTAGAATCCCTTTATCTATAGATTAGATGTTGAATAATGTTGTAATGTTCCTTTTTTACTTTTTGGTTCAATGAAGAATGTCTGTCACATTTCCTTTATTGGTACAAGGGCCTGTATGTATTTTTTTTCATTTGAACTTTATGCCACTGTCAAATAAGTGTTATTTTGATTTTAATTGACTTTTAGTACGATAAAAGTGTAATAACAGTTGCCACGAAGGCCATGCCATGGTACTGTGCACCTCCAGCAAAAGCAATCTTCAAATGCGTGGTCGAACACAGATGGGCAAAGTGTTTTTTGAGGATAAGTGTGTCGGTTGGGAGGCCTACTTTGTCTATCTGATTGTTTATCTTCTTGTAGTCGAGTTTCGTATATACAGGATGCATAGAGAATTGCACTTCTACAGGTATCTTCATGCCACACATAATTTCTACAAGCATAAGCATGTTTTCTCCCTTTGCGGGTAAATTCTACTACTTCCTCATTTCTCCCTCACGTGTAAGGACAATTCCTTGATGACTCGATTACTAGTTTTTGTCCGGTACTTTAAATTCCACCATACGAAACAAGCCCTAGCTCCTGTCTATTATTGTGACCTCACATTGAAGCTTGAGTGTCCTAGCTTTGTAAAGCGTGATCACATGTACAATATCGAATTCAACTTGTGTTCCACCCGCTAGACAGGATACTACGGGTAGTACCACAAGTCATAGCTCTATTCCTTGTGCCAATGCATTTCACCTCACACATAGGCGTAGCGCTCGTATTCATCGAGAGAATATGGATTACGAACATTCATGATTGTATGAACTGAAAATTATGGCTTGTACTGAGTGCGGGATACAATACTATTCTCCACATCTCATATTGTCATCCATTGGGCGATGAAGCCAAGAAGATGTGATGTGCATGCTTGGCATTGACAGACTCGATAATTTATATTTGAGCCATGCTATATAGCCCGGGTTTGCACCCAGGCATAGGTGACCGACGCCACATGGCGTCATTTCATTGGAGGGGGGCCTGTTCAAATTCATGTGGCGTCGGTCACCAAAGCCTTGGTGCAAACCCGGGCTATCTATCATTTTCCTTTATATTTTGTATCATGTGTGTCTTGTGCGTGTAAAGTTCGTTGGTCTTTAAATTTTTATGGCTCGACGTTTGATTTTAGACTAATAAAGAGAGGTGGGCCTCAATGCTTTAGTAGAGGGCGACTTTTTTTTTTTTCTGAAATGCGTATCGTGCAAGTGAGAGAGTCATCGTAAAATGTTCTTAAATGCATTTGCTTTCTCTCAAAGGCATGCCTTTTCTTTACTCTATTTTGCCCTTTTTTGGGGTTTAAGCAAAATCTTGACTAATTTTCCCACCCTCGTTGATTCAATTGAACATGGCCAGCAGTCTTTGATTGTGATTACTGATTATAATTAAGATTTAAATTTTAAACTATCATCAAAGTTGTAAATTGTGTTTAAAATTTGGAAATTAAGGTGTTTTTTTTGCTAAGGGTAGTTTAGTCATTTCATTTAATTTTAGAGTTTCATAGATTTTTCTCCCGATATATAGTCTCTTTGTAGTTGTTTGCTTGTTTTCATAGTATTGAATAATACGATTGTACATGTTTATTTACCTGTAAGAATGCTCAACTTAGTAAAAATGCGTGTCGTGTATCAGGAATAAAGCGCAATTTACATTTAACTAGCACACAAATAGTCTACCGTAGTAAAGTGTAGTGTGCTTGCAAATCATACGAATGAACAACTCATGATGAAAGTAAAATAACTTATTAATTATTTATAAGTAAACAAATGCTATTAAGTGGACATCTAAAAATATGTGCTCCATGTTGTCAATAGGAGGTCCAAAAGCATCCTCTAGGAGTGGTGCATTTGTCAAAAAGTACAATCAAAGCATGGAAACCAAGGCCAAACTAAAATTTGATTGTTCCTTTCTTGAATTTTGGTATTTTTATAAATAAGAGTGATGCTACACGAGCATGACGTAATATAAAGGTTTACACGAGGGAACAAGTATCATTTCCCTTTAAATATTAATCTGGCCCCGCCTTCAATTTATTAATAAAGAGATTCCGATTTCAACATAATTAATTATGTGTTAAAAGAATCTATTTCTTGCCTTGTAGGTCAAACAAACAAACCACCTTCCATAAACTACTTTCTTACCACTTTTAATTATGTAATATTCATTGGTGAAAATTTCTTTATGCTTTCTTAAAAGTAATAAGATATACTAATTTTTACGAAGATCTATCGTGGAGAAAGATTCATACAAAATTATCCCGTCAAACGCGAAAATTTTACAAAGTTAAAATTAGGGTTGATGGTCAAAAAGTTACGAATTCAAGGTAAAGGTAACACTTTTCGGTTTGAGATTTAACTATGGCATTACAGATCTACTGAATTGGGATAATAACCTTGTAAAATCACATTCGAATAATAATGTCAAATTTGATTATGAGTTTCCACTAATATTTCGTAAAAGACACGACGACATGAGCTGCACATGACTACAATGAGGCGAGGTTTTTATTTATTGGTCTGACTTGACACTTTCAAAGGTCCTTCTTTAGTTTGGATTAAAATTCAATTAAAATCTAAAGTCAAAATTAACATTTAATTTTAACTAGGATTCATAGCATTTCATCCACATTTTATTAACTCTTATCAAAATTTATTAAAAATCTAATTTTAATCTCTATCAAACTACTTTTCATTCGATTTCAATAACGCGTTCCACCAAATGTGGAAACTAAAAATTCGAACGAGAAATAAAAAGTAACTTATCCCATCCCATATCACGTATACTCGTTTATTATTTTAACATATTGATACGAATATAGATAAAATGTTGACATATATGAGATAACATACGACATTTTAATTTCTTTAACTTTATCTAATTTAACGTGCTAAACATTTCTTTGCTCGATAGTTCTTGAAAATGGAAGCAAATTAAGCAGAAGCCAAAAAATTCAAAAATAATAAAAAGTAAAAATTTCAGATTAAAAATAATTATTTTACTATTATTATCAATATGATTTTTCACAAAATCACTCAGGTATGGCCACGAGAACCGGCCGCCAAGCTCTCCTAAGAAGCCGCTGTCTGAACATCGCCGATAAAGGCCGCCGGGAACGTGCTCCACCACCTTCGGCCACTGGTAAAAGCCCTACATTCATATTCTCCGAACCCCTCTCTTCGAACGCCGGCGGCGAGGAAACAAACAAATCCTTCAGCTTATTGCTGGCAACAATCTCCTTTCCCTTTTCCGACGAATTTCCATTGCCCCGCGGCCGCTGGTCCGGATATCCAACTTCACGGCGCGGTGGCAGCCTTCTTCCGCCTCCACAACTCCCTCCTCCGAGGCTGAGCAGTATACGGATAGTGCTTCTTCTCCGGCGGAGGTGAATTGCTGGGCTCCTATTTGGGCTTCTGGCAACTGCACACTGTGTTGCTAACAGCTTGAATTTCTGTAAATTCACCATGAACGTTGCTGTAAATAGTTTGATTTGATGATTTTAATTTTAATTTCTTTATTTCAAATGGATTGGGGATTTGGAATTCTCAAGGGGAGAAGGGGAAGATCAAGAAGATGAAAAAGTGTGGGCATGGTCCGTCTAATGAAAGGTGGCCATTAGATTATTCTTTG